AGTTTCAGCAAGACTGAGTGTTACCAAATCAAGTTTTTAAGTCTTCCACCAATTACCTTTTTCAGAATCATGTATATATAATAGCCATAATGCATATTCAAAATACACAGCCCCAGACAGTGTTGGTCTGGAGCTTCCCAGGTGTAATCTGAAACTGGCCCCAGTACTTGGAGGGTAGCAAAAGATAGATGGGTAGGTGGCCACTCCAGATGGGTAGGTGGCAGGTTTAGTGAGGAAAAGGAACTTACATATGAGACTTGTCTTAGGCAACAGTAAAATGAGTGGATCTTCATACCTCCTTGTCAAATCTTAAAGGTCTATATAGAAGCTTTAACTGGGGCCAGTCAACTACACTATCCAGATAGTCTCATCACCACATCACTATCCCAATGCTATGTCCTTGGAGCAGGCCCTGGAAGTGAGGAAAGCAAGGAGAACCCACATTCCAAAGACAGGGGAGGAGGCGAAGAACCGCCAACTACCCAGGTGTGGCTAATGGATAAACCAGTGATCACATCTTCTCCATGACCTTCCCCAACAGATGTAACCTTCGATCTAGATTTGGACAACCATTATGTCCTCCATTTGCATTCATTTGCTTAGCTACCGTGAGATGCTCTGAAATTCTGAACTTGTCTTAAACTGTTAAAAAGCAAATGAGTGCCAATAAATCCTATTTTGGCAATTTGCCTTTATGAAAAAACCTAAGAAAATGGCAGTCATTTCAGAAAAAAAAATTATTTACATATTCTTAAATGGAAGGACAGATCTCTGCTTTCATTAATAATGTAGAGGATACCTTACTGTTTCACAATCTTGTGACAAAATTAATAGATCAAGGAACCCCTGTATGAAAAGATGCAGCAACAGACCAAAATTGGGGAGTTACTTATGGTGACCTGGCCAATTCAATGTAATGCATGTGTGAATTATTGTCATATACTTTTACAAAGGAGTATACATTGCAGAGTATTCATTCAGTGAGTGTGTAAAATGCTGACCAAGGCTAGGAATTGTTTTCTTTTTCCATAGCCTTAGCTCCATAGCTAGAGCTATTGATAAATAAGCAAAACTGAATAAAACAAAGAATTCAGAGACATTGATTATCATCTGTGCTAATATTTCTTTGAGCTACAACCTGCTGTCTGCTATTCACTGTTTCTTAAAAGAAAAGGCAGTGAATTGATAAGAACAGCAGACCATGGAAAAAGGACGTGGATTCTACATCTGGCCTGTTGCTAGCTGGGTGGACTCGAGCAAGCCATAACTACTCCTTTAGCTTCTTTTTTATTTTTTTTCATTTATTAAATGATCAGATTGAAGAGGATGTCCCCTAAAGTCTATCTTTGAACTAAATCATCATGAAAATTTAAGCTTAAAAAGTTTTCTTGAAGTTCTTTTTGATTGCAATTCTCACATGAGAATTTTTTTTTTCTGAAAAGTTAAAAGGAGAGTGCTCTCTGGTTCATAATGCCAAAGACTCTTTTGAAAGTGGCCATCAATTTACATAAACTTGATACATAGACAACATTAAAAGTAAAAATATAAATGTATAATTGTATAAAATATAAATGTATGCATTATTTTAAAATTCATTCTATGTCAAGTCAACAAATACATTCAAGACTAATACCACATTTCAGAGGACAGAATTACTTAATGAATGACACTGCCCAATGCTATACTTTTTCTGTGAATGCATATTAAGGCATGACACTATCCAGTGCGATCATGTGTCTGTCACTACGGATTAAGGAGTTGGCCTTGCTGTTTGAATTTGGATTCAGAAATTAGCTTACTGACCACTTCCTTGTGGACTAAGCTCTGCGTGCTTATCACACATCATATTGGAAAGCTGCGATGTGTTCTACACTTGGAAAATTTAGAAATGGATTTGAATCAGGATAAACTAATTCATTGTTATCTAGAGAAAATGAAAAGATCTGTATAGCACAATGGGATAATGGGTTGGCTAAGTGTGGTTAGTTAGCCTGATCAAGGACAAAGGGGTGCTGGGCAATTTCCAACCCATTCAGGGGACTTCAACCTGGTGCAGCTCCTTTCTGAGAAGTTCGGGATTGATACAGGAACTCCCAATCTGAGGGACATGTATCCTCATGGAACTTAAGTAGATATAGGTGTGCAAGATCCAGAAATTGCATCATACGAAAATTATTCTTTTCATTAATTCCGTCTCAATTCTAATTCTTCCCAGGGGAAAAAAAAGGACTCCCATCTGGTGCTAGTGAGCTTCTCACACCTCTCTTAATTACAAATCTCGTTTGTAACTGAGAAAAAGTCAACCATGAGAATCAATGCCTTTTACAAACAAACAGTACCTAGCTATAATTTAAGAACACTAATTTGTTTCCTGTTCTTGCATTAACCTATTTATGTCAATTAAACCAGCTTTTTAGTTTGATAGCAACATAAAGTTACTTTTTAAATGATCCTATTTAAGGCCAAAGGTACATTGACTTAAAGAAAGCTTTTCAGTGAATAAAATAGTTGTACATGGCTGGCAATCATTTCTCGGGTGACATGCAGGTGATTGAAGCTTGGGAAATATTGGGCTAGTGAGAAACACACTGAGCTAGAAGATAGTGAAACTTGGTCGCTAAATCTAATTCCAATCCTGTCACTAATTATCAGATTGTCCTCAGGCAAGGTGATGCATCTGCTTGGCTCCATTTCCTTATTATCCAATGAATATATTGACATTATATCAATGAATGATATTTGCCGAGCTACCTTTGGAGTGATGATGTAAAGATTAAAATTAAATGATGGGTAGTAAAATAGTATAAAAGTTATATAGGGGCATCTGGGTGGTGCAGTGGGTTAGGCATCTGACTCTTGGTTTTGGCTTAGTTCCTGATCTCAGGGTTGTGAGATCGAGCCCCATGGCTGCTCTGATTCTCTCTCTGTCTCCCATGGCCCCTCCACTCATGCTCTCTCTGTCTCTCCCTAAAATAGAAAATTAAAAAAAAAAACTTGTTTGTATATAAGATTCCTAATTATGTATCGAAACATCACTTTTTCTTTTTTTTCCTTCCCTTCACCCCAGCAAAATAAATAGATAAATAAATAAATGATCATGAGCATTTAGGAAAGAATAATAGATAATATTATCTCTGTTTTCACCCTAGGATCATGCCATTTTTTAGTAGTGTGTGTGCGTGTGTGTGTGTGTTAGAGAATGAGGGGGAGACTGGCTACAGTTGTACAGTTTCTACATTTACACTATTCCTAAACACTAAAGCTGTGTTGTCTTTTTCTGATTATGTTTATTTTTACTTTTCCATGGTGATAAAAAAGCTTGAAAACTATGTTAAAAAAAAAATTTAACCTAGGGACACCTGGATGGCTCAGTGGTTGAGTGTCTGCCTTTGGCTCAGGGCGTGATCCTGGGGTCCTGGGACCAATCCTATATCAGTCTCCCTGTGGATTTAATAAAATGTTTTTTAAAATTGACCAATTAATTATTAATATAAAAGCTTAGTAAAATATTTATTTAGAACTGATAAAAAAACAATAGTTTCACACCAAATTGTTTTTTGAATTAGTATTTGGAATCTTGCTTATTATATTTTTTTCATTGCAACTAAAACCTTACTTTTTCTACAGAATATGATATCTCTTCACAAAAGATGTTTTACTGTTGCATAATGTCAATTTCTATAGATTCCAGAATTTCTTTTTCCAATTTAATCTCACTTATCCTTGAGTTAAGGTTGTTGTTTTGGTTAAAATAAAAAGATGCAGTTAAATATATGATATATTCTAATCTTAGTGGTTAATATGCCAGGTTTATGACTGTTTTATCTTCTACCTATATACAACTAAGTCCCAGTACTAATTCATTGTGTGAAAGAGAGAACATCCATGGATGCAGAGATAATGCTAACAATTGTTTGGGTTCCCTTTCTATTTTTTTTTTAACGATTGTATTTATTTATTCAAGAGAGACACACAGAGAGAGAGGCAGAGACACAGGCAGAGGGAGAAGCAGGCTCCCTATGAGGAGCTCAATATGGGACTTGATCCCAGGAACCCTGGCATCACAACCTGAGCTGGAGTCAGACGCTCAACCACTGAACCACTCAGGTGCCCCAGAGGGTCTCATTCTATTAAGGAAACCTATTTAGCACTATTGCTGTTGGATTAGAAAATGATAGACTTCATAATCTCATTCACACATGTTTATGTATGCTGTAAGATAACAATTCCCAACGTTGAGCAGTCATCAGAACCACCTGGTTGTCAAAATACCAATTGCTTGTCCCACCCTCAAGTGTGATTCGGTAGTTCTGGGGTAAGGCCTGAGAATTTGCATTTTTAGGAAATTCCACAGTGACGCTGGGGCGGATGTGGTTCTCCTCCTGCCTCAGCCTTTGGTCTAGTGGAAGGCAGTAGAGCAGGACAGTGAAGCCTGTGGACTTAGGTGATAGCCCACAGACTTCGGTAATAGCCCCAGATTTCAGCCCTGGGTTTGATACTTAGGAGCTCTGTAACTTGGACAAATTAGGGATCAATTTTGTCTTCTGAACAATGGTAACAACTATATTTATTGGGAAAATGAATAAAATAATGCATATGAACTGTGTAGAACAATGCTTAGCCCTGTTCTGAGCACTCACTAAATGCAACATTAGTAACTAGTGGTGATGGTAGTTGGAGCAGTGAGCGTAGAAGCAGTAGTTAGTGGGAATAGAAAAGAGCATACATGTTTCCTTAGTTCAGTTGCAATAAATGTTTATTTTTCATTCTTAAGGAGGCTGGACAGAAAGCTTAGTTTTCATTTATGACATTGTTTCTGTGAGAAACACTCCAGCAAGAAGGGAATTCATTGAAAAGAAGTAGAGCCATTAGTAAAAGAAATGCTCAAGAGTGTGTAGGAGATGGGAATCTATGTTGCATTCAAGCAAAAGTTTATCCGTTAGTGCAGTACATTTTTCAATATTCAGAACTTAATGCATTTGTTTCTTTCCTTCCCTTAGCAACAAGAGCAAGACCCAACAAACCTATACATCTCAAATCTCCCCATTTCTATGGATGAGCAGGAACTTGAGAATATGCTGAAACCCTTTGGACATGTCATTTCCACAAGAATATTAAGAGATGCTAATGGAGTCAGCAGAGGCGTTGGCTTTGCCAGGTAAAACATTTGCTACATGTACATGTATTTTTTGCCTTCCCTCCTTATTCCCATTTAATTCCATTCCTTTCTAGCACTAGGGCCCAAAGCAATAGAATATTTTACTCTCTCCCTGACAAAAAGTAGCTTTCCAAACCAACTCCGTATCTTTGCTTCAATCCAAAGAATTCCAATGTAATTATAAATATGTTATGCTTGCTTAAAATATGTACATAGAATGGTTATATGTGTCTCAGGTCATAATGATATGCATACCCAGTTCCCAGTTCTCTCTATGCCTGTATATTAGCAAAATCAGATGCTGCCAATCTCTGCTAGTGGTAATAAATGCCCAGTACCCCAAAGCTAAAGAGCCCATGTGGTGAACAAAGCATCCAAATGCTTTTGCATTGATTTCCAAAGAAGGAGACAATAGAATTTCTCAGTCAAGAGAAGGAAGGAATTGCTGGGAAGTCCCAAGGAACCCAGAAATATAAGGGGGAGTTAGGAGGGCATTTGCATTTAAGAGGACCTGGCTGTGTAGTTTTGATGTTTTACACAGAACAGAAAAAAGCAAATTGCACTTTTTTCATTGTCAGAGAAAGAAAAGTAGTTTCATCTTAACTTTAAGGGGATGTTTACAAAAGAAGATCTCAGCCAGGGTTGGAGTTAAAATGGTTGTACCTGCTGTGCTTTCATGAAAAACAAAGCATAAGAAACCACAGAGAAAAAGAAACTGCTCAACAGCAAAGAACGAGAGTAAAAGCTGTGTCTCCATGGCTTGGTGTGTTGATGTGTCTCAAGCTGACTTAACATGGATGAGTGAATGGATGCTAGTGTCATCTGGAAGTCAGCCCATTGCAGACAGGTCCATCTATAATGAACCCCATCATTATATGGAAACCATTCCAAATCAACTTTCATTAACCCACTTTGAAAGATAACAAATTGTAGGGGTACCTCAGTGGCTCATTTGGTTAGGTGTCTGACTCTTGACCTCAGCTTGGGGCATGATCTCAGGGTTTTGAGATCAAGCCCCACATCAGGCTCTGTCCTGAGCATGAAGCCAGCCAGGGATTCTCTCTCTCCCTCTGCCCCTCCTACACTCACTTTCTCTCTCCATCTTAAAAAAAAAAAAAAGTTAAATAAGTATAAACCAATCTCTGACTTGACTTCCTACAAATGGACCTTATCTTAAAATTCTTATCTCCACCATTTTCTAGTAGACTGGTAGACATATACGAGATGCATGATGATTTGAGGAGAAATAAGCAGAATGAAGGAAATCTCCCTCCCTTGCATTTATGTTTGAGGCATTCACTTTTTCAGATCATTGATAACTGCTCATTTGCATGGTCAAGGCAGAGCTAATCACATCACCTGAGTCTCTGAATTTTGTCAGTGTATCATTGTTGGATAGTGGATAAGCAGCTGTTCAGGACTGGCCAGTGTGGGGATTCACTGAAATGACGGCTGAAACAGCATTCACATTCTTTTGGTTCTTCTCCCACTTCTCATTCCCCAAAAAACTAACAAATTAGTTTCTCCTTCATTTGTACTTCTGGTGTGAAATGAACATATTTCAACTTTATCAGGGAAAAACATTTTCTAAGATTTATAGTGATTTTCTTTTTCTTTTTTCTTTGTTTTTTTTAAGTTAAGGGCTTTTGGTACAGAGTACATTAATTTGCTAGGGCTTCCATAACAGAATACAACAGACTGGGTAGGTTAAATGTTGAAAATGTCTGGAAGCTAGAAGTCCAAGATCATGGTACTAGTAGGTTTGGTTTCCTCTGAGGCCTTTCCCTCTGTCTTATAGATGGCCTTTTTTTCCCTGTGTCTTCACATGGTCTTCCCTCTCTATGTCTTACTATCTTCTTTTTAAAAAGGGAATCAGTCATGGGTGCCTGGCTGGCTCAGTCAGAAGAGCATGTGACTCTTGACCTCGGGGTCATAGTTTCAGGTCCTATATTGGGTTAGAGATTATTTAAATAACTTAATTTAAAAATAACTTGAATTAAAAATTTAATTATTTAAGTTATTTAAATTATTTAAGTTATTCAAATAACTTAATTTAAAAATAATTTAAATTAAAAATAACATAACATGAACTTAATTTAAAAATAAATTTAAAAATATCAGGGCACCTGACTGGCTCAGTCAGTTAAGCATCTGCCTTTGGCTCAGGTCATGGTCCCTGGGTCTGGGATCGAGAGCCCCCCGTTGTCAGGCTTGCTGCTCAACAGGGAGTCTGCTTCTTCTTTTTTTTTTTTTTTTAAGATTTTATTTATTTATTCATGAGACACACACACAGAGAGAGAGAGAGAGAGAGAGAGAGGCAGATTTACAGGTAGAGGGAGAAGCTCGCTTCATGCAGGGAGCTTGACATGGGACTTGATCCCGGCTCTCCAGGATCAGGCCCTGGGCCGAAGGAAGCACTAAACCACTGAGCCACCTGGGCTGCCCAGGGAGTCTGCTTCTCTGTCTCCCTATGCCTCCCTCTACCCTTGCTCTCCCATGAATGTTCTCTCTCTCAAATAAGTAAATAATCTTTAAAAAGGAAAGTAAAGGACCTCAGTCAGATTGGATGAGGGCCCACCCATATAAGGCCCTATCTCCATATATAGTCACATTATGAAGTACTGGGGCCTGGGACTTCAACATAGGAATTTGTATGTCACAATATAGGCGCAATTCAGCTTATAACACAGAGATTGGGCTGTTCCTTTCTCTCACTTTTGTCTTCTCTATACACTTTCAGTTTGCTTAAAATGAAGAATATTCTTTTTTTTATTTTTTTATTTTTTATTTTTTTCATCTCAACAGATTTTTATTTTTATTATTTTTTATTTTTATTTTTTAATAAATTTATTTTTTATTGGTGTTCAATTTGCCAACATACAGAATAACACCCAGTGCTCATCCCGTCAAGTGCCCACCTCAGTGCCCGCCACAGTTCTTCTTAGTGAAGAACCAAGAAATGCACATTGTAAACAGGCAACACTATCATTATAGTATATGATATCATGAAAGAGTAAATCTGATAGTTTTTGTTTCCCCTTTAGGAGCTGAGGAAAAGTGGGAATTTTAAATTATTCTTTTATGCCTGCTCTGAATGCAGCTTCCCTCTTTTAGTGCAATTTGCATGCAGAAGCTACAAATGATTCTTTAAAATACAAATCTGAGGGCAGCCCCGGTGGTGCCCCGGTTTAGCACCACCTGCAGCCCAGGGTGTGATCCTGGAGACCCTGGATCGAGTCCCACGTCAGGCTCTCTGTATGGTGCCTGTTTCTCCCTCTGCCTGTGCTCTGCCTGTGCCTCTGCCTCTCTCTCTCTCTGTCTCTGTCTTTATGAATAAATAAATAAATAAAATATTTAAAAAAATAAAATAAAAATCTGATCATGTCAGGGTACTGTTTATATCCCTCCATATGATTGGATTTACCAGCCTCTCCGCCATCATCCCTGACATGATCATTCCTGACATCACTCACCTTCCTGGCCTTCTGTGCCTTCCTGTCGCCTATCCTGGGCGCAAGAAGCCCTTCTTGACTGTTACACTTTCCATGACTCTTACCCTGGTTTCTGCCATCATATCCTTTAGGTATTAGCTTAAACGTGTTTTCTTCAGAGAACCCTTTACTGACCACAAACTCCAGCTTTCAAAGTTAAATGGTCTGGTTATAGCTCCTGTCAAAGTTTATGGGTTTTCTGTTTTGTTTTGTTTTTCCCCAAAGAAAATTTGTCAAAATCATAAAGAATTCATTATTTAATCTTTGTCTTCATTCTCTGTATTATACATATCCTTAAGTCATGTTTCCTTTTCACTGTTGGAAGGATGGATGGGTAGATGGTAGTTAGCATAATTGCCTTCCTATGAAGTTCCTGAATGACTAAACCCCCAAACAATGGCCATTTAAAATTCTGAGCTTTGAATATGAATTACCAGTCATATTCCAATACTGAAACTTAGGTCTGCATACTCTAAGTCATGTTATTTTCCAATTTCAGAAAGAAGCATGTGGATTGGTTCAAATAGGTTCAAATCAGTTTCTTAGGTGTAAGAAATCAAAAGAAAATATGAATCTGCCTCTTTTGTAAGAAGCCAAGAAACTGATGAAGAATCAGTATTTCATTCTCCATGTGTCTTAGAGTTGAAATTTCAAGGAGCAGGATCCCACATGATCTACCTAATTTGATGATGTGAGAAAATAATGTTAACTACATCATATGTCAGTGGGTCTGCTCAGGTTTCTCTTTCCTCACACTTGGGCATTTGCTCTGCATTTTCTCAAACTACCCTGGCTGTTGCTTTAACAAAACTCAATCATTCACAAATTAACTTTTACACAGTTTTCCTTCTTTTTAAAATATCATCCTTTTCCTGTTGTTCAGCCACTCTCATTCAGAGGTCTCCCTCTGAACCACAAAACAGAGATGACTTGAGTGACAGTTTTCTTACTTCTTTCCAAGATATTGCATAGCTGGTGAGAGAAGTTAATGGATTATGTACAATAAATGCCTTGGGACAATGGTTCTCAAAGTGTAGTTTCCAGGACAGAAACCTCAGCATTGCTTGGGAAATTGTTAGAAATGCAATTTTGGAGCTGTATCCCAGACTTACTGAATCAGCAATGGTGGGCAGTGGATGGGGTGCAGCAATCTGTGCTTTAACAAGCACTTAGGTGACTCTCTTGCTCTCTAAACATTAAAAAGCATTGCCTTCAGGCATCAGACTGGTTCTCAAATCATCTGGAAGGCCTGTAAAATCTCAAATTGCTGGGCTTCATTCCTAGAAAAAAATTTTTGATGGAGTTAATTCCTGTTGACATCTCTATCACACTGAATCACTTTGTCAAATATACTAGTCATGAATCCATCTCCCTTCCTGTTCTCCAGATATAGGGACCAGATCTTGTTCTTACTCATGTCTGTCCCAGCACCTAGAAAATTGTCTGGCACATTATTAATCTTCAGTAAATTTTTGATGATGAACAAATGAAATAACTTCAAGTGTTAAG